AAACCGGAAAAGCACAGGCTAAAAATCTGTTTGATGTTGTCAGACAAATGTTCTTGCAATCTTTTATAAAAGGTTTAACATTTTTACCACTAAAAAACATTTAGCTTGTATCCCTTGCAAGGTTTCAGTGCTTAAAAACTGCTTGGGAAAAGTCTTTCATCAACCGAAAGCTGGAATGATAAAGCTGATAAAGTTATCTTTGCCTGAACACTCTTGCATGTTAGTCCTTCAAAAATCTAAAGAATAAACCCATTTGTGCTGATTCTAGGTTTACCCAGCATGGAGCACTCGGAGCTCTCCTTATCTAGATTTGATTACGCAGCTTTAGAGCAAACAGTGGGCAGGATTACAGCAGTCTAGCACACCAACACCTGTTACCTGGTACACCAGATTTAGCAATGGCTGCCGCTGCGTGATCCTGCGTAGAGAAGATGTTACAGCTGGACCACTGGACCTGGAGCACACAGAGATCAAGGAGAAGGAATGAGATCATGTGACTTGTACAGACTTCACTCATTAGTTTCATACATAACCTTTTGGATAAAATATGGCCTTGGGCTGGGAAATTCCAGTTTGACAGAGGAAATAGGGGATAAGAAGAACGATGCATTTGAGTCAGACAGCAGGGTTAGCCATCTAGTAGTAGGAAAAATGTGAAGAAACGGTACTCTCCCTTTCCAAACAAAGCACTGTGGTAATACCATGATAAAATTACGGAATAATGTTGTAATAATATGAAACATCGTATTTATGTTTCAAAGAGAACCATGGCATACAGGGTCAGTAAGATTTTTAAAAAACATTTTTGAAAGAAATCTCTAATGCTCTCCAAGACTGCATTTTTTAATCAAAAATATCGTAAATATTGTGAAATATTAATACAATTTAAAATAACTATTTCCTATTGTAATCTACTTTAAAATGTAATTTATTCCTGTGATCAAAGCTGAACTTTCAGCATCATTACTCCAGTCTTCAGTGTCACAGGATCCTTCAGAAATCATTCTAAAATACTGATTTGCTGATCAAGGAACATTTCTTATGATTATCAATGTTGAAAACAGTTGTGCTGCTTCATGTTCCCCCCCCTCAAAAAAGCATGACTTTTTTTTTCTCAGGATTCTTTGATGAATAGAAAGTTTTAAAAAAAAAACAGTATTTATATGAAATACTAATAAAATAGTACAATTTTTAATCTATTTCAAACTGAAAAAGCTACTGACCCAGAAAACCATATAGCAATACCATTACTTTTTGTTAGTAGCAGCAAAGAAGTACTACACGTTCAGTAATTGCTGAATTTTTAAAGTTTAAACCCTATTTTTAATGGTTTTAAAGTAATATTCCACTCCAAAATGAAAATTCTGTCATTATTTACTCAAAAGGAGAATTTTAAAGCAGCTATTGAGAATTTGATGACATTTTAAAGAATGCTAATGCAGTTCTTTTCCATACCAAGACAGTTCATAATCTAATAACATCAAGCCTAGCGCAAAATGCTATTTTTTTAGTGCAGATATAAATTCCTTTTTTTGAGTAATAACTATTTCTTTAATGGTTTTGCATTTGCATCCTCACCTCAGCTCCGAGGGCAGTCAGGGTTTCAATGAGCACAGCGGTCTGTAGAGTCATGTGCAGGCAGCCTGCGATGCGAGAGCCCTTCAGGGGTTTGGTCTGGCCATAGAGCTCCCTCATCTTCATCAGACCCGGCATCTCATTCTCGGCTATGTCGATGGCTTTACGTCCCCACTCAGCCAGGCTGATGTCAGCTGAACAGGGAGAAAATTACAACAGATTATGCATAAAACAAAAGCTAAATTCAGCAAACGTAAAGAATTATTAAATTAAATAGTCAAACTAGTACAGATTGTCTAAACTTTTGCACAAGCATTTGAGAGCACAGTTAAATAATAACTACAAATCCCAAGAAACATACATGTCCAATATGACATGCAAGTTAAAGCAGTCTTTGAGGTGTCAGTCTCATATTTTGACATCTAGAATAGGAATTCAACAGATGACACCTAAAACCACATACCTAACATGTCTTGAACTGGTTGAGGAGATGGTGCTTGGTTTCTTAGCATGCACACTTGCTAAGATATATGCACACTTAGCAACCAATAGGCAACCCAAAAGATATTCATTTCTCAGTCTGCACTGATTAGAATTAATTACCAGGGATATTACAACTGCAGACATGGAGGAAAACACATCTGCCATAATATTCAGTAGCCAAACAAATATGTAATTACAAAAGAAAATGGTATTCGATCAGAAAAGGCATTTTTCATTTACATTTTTGACAGTGACCACTAACCTACAACAAGATCAAGGCAACAATTCAGAGTATTTGTTTAGTTTAACATGAAGATGCTGTTTTAGCCAAGTGAATTTCCAATTTCCATGACTTAAATGTTACTAATTCCCATAATTTCCCCACTACTATTACTTCCAGGTTTTCCAATGACCATGGAAACCTTGTAATGTGCCTTCAGAATGGGCTATTAATAAATAAGTGTGCACTTTGACATTTCATTCACTGATTTGGAAAAACTGAACTCTGATCTCCTAAGACTAGGGAGCAAAGTCCAGCTGGATTTACTATTGAATTACTTGTGCCTTATCTGCACCAGATGGTCACCATAACTGTGCTGACGTGTGAATAAACGCGACGCAAAAACAACAGCGAAGATATGAACGTAGTGCGTTTAATTTGAGAAAGGAAAAATTGAAATCGCATCATATGACCCCTTTAACTCAAAGTACACCTTTTAAGCGCATGCCATTCATTTTTGGTCAACCACGGGCAGAGGAATCGTTCTTTTGAGCTGGACCTTTTCAATGAATCGACTGAACAGATTCACAAAACCATTTGGAGTGAGCCGAGGGTTCCACTGATAAGAACTGGAAATATGTTTACGACGTTTAGTAGCATGCAAACGAAACGTAGCTAGTTTTATTAAAAAGTAAACCGTGCAAATACTTTTCAGTCAGTAGATAAATAAATTAATCAGCCCGTAAATTAAGTTTAATATTGTTTAATGTATATGCAAATCACATTTAGGCTCTAAATGACTATGTTCTGACTGAGATACATAAAATTGCTATTAACAGTTATTAATAAAACATGACTGAAAAACCTTATTAGACAGCAATATGTCTTTATTTGAACGTTGAAAAGAGTCAGGGTCCACGTGATGACGTAAAGAGCAGCTGAGCCATTTTATGAACCAAACGAACTGTTCAAAAGAACCGATTCGAAAAAATGAACGACTACGATCAACGAAAAGTGACGGCTCGTTCGACTACTGCATTATGGGAAGTGTAGTCCAGTAGTGCAGGATATCTCATACGGAGGAGATTCTACAGTGCACGCAAAAACTACAACTTCCAAACTTTCTTCTTCACGTCTCCCGAATGGAACCACGCTAGCTTGTTTGACAGGTGTTAGATATAAAATCATATATACTACTTTGTGAGTAACCATGAAATGGCTGTAATAATACACTAGACATATTAAGTGCGCAAACAGTGACTTTATGGGGGTGGGTTCGCAAGGTAGCGTTGACAATGACGCCTCCACTGCCATGTGATACAGAAGCACTAGCATCTGAAGGTCTGCAACAATCCATGCTCGCTCAAAAATACAACCCAACACCCTTTTGCAGAGAATCTGATAGTTTATAGAGAATCTATTAGAGAGATTATTAGAAAGAAATCGTCAGAGTGGAATTAGCTAATTAGCATTGGCGGTAAAAACATGATTTTGTAACAGCATCCAGCATGGACTAAAGTCAATAATCAAATAAACTTATACTAACCAACTTTGAATGGAAGCTTCTCTGACATTTTGATGTGCTGTCGTTAGGTAAGCCTGATATGGGTTGGTCTTGAGCCCTGCTGTGGACCCGAGAGAGTGCAGAAGGAGGTAACTTCTTATGTGAACTTGAATATAAGTGTGAACAAACCGGTTGTTGTAATATTCATGAGATCATGCCGCCTCTCGTTTCTCATTGGCCGAAATATGCCCCGCCTTATCGCTCTAAATAAACCATCGTGGGCGCGTTCATTTGATCCTACGATAGCCAATGAGAATCCACGGTGGTTAAAGGTTTGTAATATCATTTGGAATGTGGAGATCTCGGTTAATATACCAGTAGGCTATAAGTTTCAACTTGCTTTTGTGTTTTACTAATATTTAACATCATGAGGACGGATCTGAGCTTGTGAGAAGAAAGGTGCTTTTTAAAATAAATATTTCAATTTAAAACGAGTTTAAAAAAACAGAATATGTTGACAAAACAAGTTTGAGTTGCTTTCCATTAGAAACAAAGCAACATAAAAAGAGGAAATACATTTTTCGTAGTAAAATCCCAATAAATTAGAGTCATTATGTACAGTAGCAGTTGAACGGGGGTTATCTTGGGTTATTTGGATAACACTAGGGCTGTATAAAGTCCATTCAATATGTCCTGAAAATATGCCCCATGTTTATCCCCATATGTGAAAATTGTCTAGTTTTGGTTTTGTGTGAAATTAAACCTGAAAGACTTAAGATTTACATATCATTGACAGATTTACTAAACACCCTGTCAATCATCAAATTATTAAATGTTTTAGTGGACAATATAAGGTCAGAATCGTGCAACTGACTTAAATGTTGAGGTAGATTATTACTTAAACTAAGTTTGGGGTTGGCAATATTTTTTTTATGCTTTTTGAAAGTCTCATGATCACAAACAGTACATTTATTTGTTCAGAAATACAGTAAAAACAGTAATATTGTGAAATACCATTTAATAATATATTTAAAGTAACTATTTTTATTGGAATATTTTAAAATGCCATTTATTTCAGGTAAGTTCGTACTGTGCTGAAGCCTCATTTTGGTTCATGTACGAGGACCACCAGAAACTCAGTCAAAATATTTTTATAACAATAATAATAGAGATTATAACGATAATGATATAACAATGATAAATCCAGCACCTACAAGATAATGACAACATACAAATGTATTAAAGCTTCGTCTTTCACATTCTGTACAAATCAGTTTGCATTACTACAGATCATAGCATGTTGCTTCAAAGTCTTCATTTTCCTTTCCATTGCAAGAAAGAAACAGAAAAGCACCATCATATATTCCATTGCTGTCTCTGAAAGATTACTGACTGTATGCATGTAATGGACCGGTGGGTATTTTTAAATAAAAAGTATACTCTCTGTCCTCCTGCCTGGACACTATTTCTACAAATTCATGTTCAATATTCAGTAGACAAAAACACATCTTCAAGGTGAGCACTGATGCTTTGAAGTGCATAAATAAAGAAATATTAGGCAAATAATGGAAAGAAACATTTAATGCGCAAATCCAAATCCAGAGAGGTGTTAATTTGGCAAAACTTTAATGTAGGTGTAAGGTTGAAAGGCATAAATGAGAGTGTCAAAAAGACAAACAATAAACAACATGAATGAAACGTTCCGAGCCGGATAAATAAACATAGTTATGTGTTTAGTGTTTCTCTCACATCTCAATATTCAATACTCAAATGTTTTATAGACTCTCAGGAGAGGAAAATGAATAAAACCAGAGCCTCATAATAGTGCACTCTGTAAAATAAAGCGTGATATTAAATGAATCTGTGCAGTCTGAAATCTACAACAAACCTTGTCGTTTTTCCCCCTAATACAACACTCAGTTTAAGAAACCACTTCTAGTGTAAAGATATCTTAGAATCACGAGCCAGTATTTCTGAAATATCTCAAATAGAGTACACGTTTCTTGAGTGAAGAGACCTATTCCATATAAGAATCCCATTCTGTCAGGAGACCGTAAATCGTCATGCCATTAAAGAAAGATGCAAGGTACAGTAAAACTCTTACTGTTGCAGCAGCACTCAAACGTGAGGTGGATCCTCAAACCTTCATGCCCACCTCAGTCCCGAAACGGAGAGCAAGTCTTGTACTCATAAAGCCTAAGTGCTGATATAGGACGTCCCGTGGGCACTACGGATACTGGATGTGGGAAGCACCTGCACTGAAATGCTCGATGCACGGAATCAAACGGGGCTTATAGTGCTTTTAACAGAACTTGTGAACAAATGAATTGGTAATATATACCACATGTTCTCTCCAAAAACACAACAGATCGTTACAGACACCTTCCCCTGCGTGCAAAGGCTTTCTGGTTTCTCGGACCAAGCGGAGGATTCCTTGTGATGGAAGTTTGAAAATATATGACTACTTATACAGGCAATGGAGTGCCGAACACACAAACACTGATCTACAACAAGCCATTTTCGTGTCTGAACAACCCAGAGATGAGGAGAAATGAGGCAAAATCTCAGACTTTCTTAGATGAGAGTGTTGACAGTAAGCCTAGCGGAGATTTATAATCTTTTTTGAGCAGTTGCATTCATGTATTTGTTTGCCTCTCGTGTGTGTTTATATATTAACCTATTTTAGACACAAAGACGTCATACTGTAACATATTGAAGAGTCCTTCCAGGTCCTTTAGTAACGGGTATCTTGGTGAGGTTTATGCCTTGTATAGTGTGTATGGGTTTCGGGGAGCATTAATTGGCAGCCCACGCCTCCAGGTCTTTCATGTCATCCTCATCCTCTTCTTCTTTCTTCTTTGCTGCAATCACAAAAGACATTCTAGAACTGCATTTTATACAAGGCCATTATAATCACATTTGCAGGAGTCTGAAAGAGCGATTTGCAGCATCAAAACGACCAGAACCTACTTAATATGCCATGATTTGAATCATATACATAATATTAGTAACATGTGAAGTAACATCTTACTGATTGAATTTACAATGTAATACTAAGGTTATGATTGTCAAAAAAAGTTTTTCAAATAAGTTATTTGTTTACAAACAATTTCAACTATTAAAACAATCACATACACTATTTTTCAAAGTAAATAAAACAACTATTATAGTAGGTTTGGTAAGAAAATACAATAACACTTTACTTAAAGCCTTTAAATATATGAATTATAAAAGTAGTTTTAATGCATTAATTATGCCTTGTAATGCAACTTATAATGAACTGTATGATCTCATGAATAATTGTGACCATATTTATAATACATTATAATACTTATCTATTCAATGTTACACCTTTAGAAAGTATAATGCATTAAAACACATGACAAACAAACCATTACATATTATAATGCATTTTAACTTTGGTTACAATTATTTATAAAAAATACATAATGCATTACAACCTACATTATGAATACCTTTATAATGCATTATACATAAAGGCTTTAATTAAAGCGTTACCTAAAATACTTTTTTTTTTTTTTACATAAGCATTTTATGTTCCATTCAATTTAATAGCAATTTCTAAGTAAAAATTGTTTCTACACCACATTTCTTTCAGCATCGGCTTATGCAGTTGGCATGTCACACTGTCCAAAAACTTGAACTGAAACTAAAAAAACTAGTCTAAAACAACACTAGATGATATCAGGAGACTTATGTTTCCAAACACCACGTGTGTGTGTGTGTGTGTGTGTGTGTGTGTGTGTGTGTGTGGAGCAATCACCTTATAGGCTACTTTTTGTGTGTTTGTGTTTGTGTGTGTGTGTGTGTGTGTGTTTAGTACCTGGTCTGGCAGGTAAGGATGTAGAGGGCACATTTGGCAGTGGTACATTGTCTCCGATCTCCAGAAGGTTCTTATCCAACTCTTCCTGCTCCAGCTCCTCAAGTTCAGCTAACAGCTCATCCTGAAACAACACAACATCTGTTTATACCCAGTATTAACATGCATCTCAAATGTGACCACTTGTGATTGGATTTTAGAGTATGTACATCAGTTAAAGGGGTCATATGATGCTGCTAAAAAAAACATTATTTTGTGTATTTGGTGTAATGAAATGTGTT